TTGCTGACCCTATGAGGGAGCGTGCCCAGCTGGCGCTGTAGGCCTCTGAGGGAGAGAAGGACGGGCCCGCTGTTGTTGCGTGTGCATCCTGCTCAGGCCTGTGGCGATACAGACAGCAGCAGGCATAGGACAGGCTGCTGGGAGGCCCCGAGAGTGACCGGAGCCAGTCCTATTGCTGCCAGCTCCTCAGCCCTCTCCTTGGGGGGCGTGGGGGATCGGACTGCCGTGAGATGCCGATGGGCTGTGTGGCACACCTTGCCGGCAAGAGGGCTTACAGAAGGCACTGATGCCAGCTCTGCCCACTTTGCCAGGCAGCCACCCTCCTCCTGTGTATCAAGGTGTCGCCATCAGAACCAGACAGAGCTGTGAAGAGGCAGGAGCAGAGGCGCCTGCAGCTGGCGCATGTTGGGTCCTCGCCACCCTGACCAGACCGCGCCGTCAGCAGTCCCCATGGCGTGCAGCTTACTCGAAGCAGTCACTGTCCCTCTCGCCCCTCACCCTCCTTCTGCTCTCCCCACACAGTCGTATTCTTGGGAGGAAAACATAAAATTAATTAATTACATGGTCTCAGACTAGACAGTGAAGGGCAGTGACCTCCATCTAGCTGTGTCCACCTGCGAGGCCCTGTGTCTGCTGGGGTGCTGTGAGGTGGCCGAGGGTGAGGCCCTGTGTCTGCTGGGACACTATGTGATGGCTGAGTGTCCACCTGTGAGGGTCTGTGTCTGCTGGGACGTCCTGAGGTGGCCGAATGTCCACCTGTGAGGGTCTGTGTCTGCTGAGGCGCCATGTGGTAGCCGAGTGTCCACCTGTGAGGCCCAAGGATGCCAAGAGGTGGCTGAGGAATGTGGTGGCAGCCTTGTGTGCCAGTGCTGAGGCTAGGGCCACTGGCGTGGAGAAGGACCCAGCTCCTGGTGAGGCTCCCGGAGGGGCCCCATTCCTGATTGACAGGCCGTTGTCCCTGGTTTAGTGGTGGACCTGTGTGGTGACCCCAGGCACTACCTTGGGTGACTGTGAGGCCGGAACAGGCCCATCTTCTTGGAGAGGAAGCCATTTCTGTGTTTCTACCGTGAACAACTGCTGGGAGTCGCTGGCCACGCTGACTGACACGGAGCTGTGTGGACACGTGCACCCGGGCTCCCTGGCTTCTTGTGCTCTGGCCGTGACCTTGGGCAGCCTGTACGAGGCCAGCGGTTCTGGCTCCAGCAGGCTGAATTCCTGGGCAGTCTGGCCAGACTGGGGCCTTAGAAGCCTCCCTCTCCAGGACCAGGGGGCGGTCAGCATCACAGCTCTTCAGAGACATTAGGCTGGCCTGATAGCCCCACGGAGCGTTGGCCACGTGGGCTCCATGGGTCCCCGGCGTGCCAGGGCTGTGTCCTAGCCCGGACGGCTTGCAGCGCATAGCCGGGTGCTGAGTCCTGGGATGGGTTTATTTTGGGTTTGGCTGGTGTGTGCATGCTGGTGAAGGTCAGGCAGCACTAGCATCTAACTCCCCTGGCAGGACGGGGCAGCCTCACTGCTGCCCTGGGCGCCCTCGGGCTCCTCCTCGGGCTCCTCCTCGCTGCTCCAGCACGACAGCTACACATCCATGTCTGTTAGCTACTTTATTTGTAAAAATGTTTACAATGTTTCTTTTAAAAAGATTTATTTTATTTTATTTGTTGGAATGTCAGATATGCAGAGAGGAGGAGAGACAGAGAGGAAGGTCTTCCATCCGATGATTCACTCCCCAAGCGGCCGCAATGGCTGGAGCCTCTTCCGGGGGGGAGTGATCCAGGAGCTCTTCCAGGTCTCCCACGCGGTGCAGGGTCCCCAGGCTTTGGGCTGTCCTCGACTGCTTTCCCAGGCCACAAGCAGGGAGCTGCATGGGAAGTGGGAGAGCTGGGACACAAACTGGTGTCCTGTGGGATCCTGGTGCATGCAAGGTGAGGATTTAGCCATGAAGCCATTGTGCTGGGACTTTGTCTTGTGGTTTATTTCTCAGAAAAGGGACAGGCAATGAGGATTTTTGAGAATTTATCTGAGAAGAAAAACTGTTTGGTCAGATGGGATTGTTTCCACAGAGACATTTGAAGGCCTCTGTATTGTGGGCCCCCAGCAGTGGCGTTGGGAACCCTGAGTCCCCTGTGGGCCCCCAGCAGTGGCATTAGGAACCCCGAGTCCCCTGTGGGCCCCCAGCAGTGGCGTTGGGAACCCCCAGTCCCCTGTGGGCCCCCAGCAATGGCACTGGGAACCCCCAGTGCCCTGATGTGCATATCTGCTCCAAGCTGCGGGTAAGCGGCGTGACGGTGACGGTGAGGTGTGTCGTGGGCTTCTTAGGCTTATTGTTTGTGTCGCTCGTTGAGCTTCCTGTTCTACACGTTTCTGTGTTTCTGTCGTCGGTTTTGGGGAGATTCTCCTGATTTTTTGTTGTTGCTTCTGTGGTTTGTTTCTCATTCAGAGACCCAGAACCTGACCAGGGATGCCAGGCCTTTGCTGTTGCCTGCAGGCCCGAGTCATTCACTGCCTGCTCCCTGGGGATCCCCCGGGGCGCCAAGGAGACAGGAAGAGGCTCCGGATGAACGTCCCTGAACCTCTGTGTGTGTGTTAGGGACATGGGAAGCACAGAGACGAAGAAATACTACAAGAAAGTGCCAGAAAAATATGCTTCTAAAGGGTTGCTATTTGAGCACAGCCTTGGCTTAGTGCTGCGGGTCCCATCACAGGTGCAGCGTCAGGCGTGGATGTCCCCGCAAACCCCTGTTGGGAAGCTTCCGTGAAAGCAGGGAGAGGGGCCATCAGCCGGCAGAGCTGCGGCCCTGCCCGCCCTTCACGGCCTCCCCCAGACCGTCTTTGCCAGCGGTAACGCGTGTGAATCCCAGCGTTTTCCCCACGGAACGCACTCCTCTAACATCCCCGCGGAGGTACAGGTGCAGGGGAGGGGCTGGGCTGCCCACCCTGGCACTCATGCCCTCTAGAGTCCTTCCGGATGATATGGGCAGTATTTCTTGCTCATGATAAAGATTGAAATTAAAATTGAGACTTGGAAATCTGCTCCTGTGATCCCAGCTGTCTCTCGGGGCTGGGGGACTTGTGAGCTCGGAGTGACAGGCACTGAGACCTGGCATTGATTAGTGCTGTCTGGCCCTGGAAGGTGCGTGCCCACCCATCCGGTGGTTCTAGAAGGCTCCCGGGGGAGGACTTGAAGGATCTGGCGTGGCTGGGATCTGGTCTGGAATCAGGGTTGCCCGCTTGTCTTTACTGCTGGCTCCTGGCCCTGCACTCGCAAGGGCACCTGTTGGCCGAGCGGCCGGAGCCGACACACCGTGAGCCACTGCCCACACAGCGGCTTTTACAAGAGATCATTTCTTTTCTGTGTAATGATTATTCATGTTAAAATACAACAGGTTTGTTGCTGTTTTTAAGTGCAGGAATAAAATATTTTTAAATGTTCTCTTTAATTTACAAACACGTAGTGATGGAAACAGCCCACCTAAATGAAAGCCTCCATGACCCTGAAGGTCTGGAAGCCAGACGTCCTGCTGTGGTTAGCCGTGAGTGTGAGAGAGACGGGGTCAGTGTGGGAGAGAGCCGTGAGTGTAAGACGGGGTCAGTGTGGGAGAGAGCCGTGAGTGTGAGAGAGATGGGGTCAGTGTGGGAGAGAGCCGTGAGTGTGAGACGGGGTCAGTGTGGGAGAGAGCCGTGAGTGTGAGAGACGGGGTCAGTGTGGGAGAGAGCCGTGAGTGTGAGACGGGGTCAGTGTGGGAGAGAGCCGTGAGTGTGAGAGACGGGGTCAGTGTGGGAGAGAGCCGTGAGTGTGAGACGGGGTCAGTGTGGGAGAGAGCCGTGAGTGTGAGAGAGACGGGGTCAGTGTGGGAGAGAGCCGTGAGTGTGAGGGGGGGGTGTCAGTGTGGGAGAGAGCCGTGAGTGTGAGAGAGACGGGGTCAGTGTGGGAGAGAGCCGTGAGTGTGAGAGACGGGATCAGTGTGGGAGAGAGCCGTGAGTGTGAGAGAGACGGGGTCAGTGTGGGAGAGAGCCGTGAGTGTGAGGGGGGGGTGTCAGTGTGGGAGAGAGCCGTGAGTGTGAGAGAGACGGGGTCAGTGTGGGAGAGAGCCGTGAGTGTGAGAGAGGGGTGTCAGTGTGGGAGAGAGCCGTGAGTGTGAGAGAGGGGTGTCAGTGTGGGAGAGAGCCGTGAGTGTGAGAGAGGGGTGTCAGTGTGGGAGAGAGCCGTGAGTGTGAGACGGGGTCAGTGTGGGAGAGAGCCGTGAGTGTGAGACGGGGTCAGTGTGGGAGAGAGCCGTGAGTGTGAGAGACGGGGTCAGTGTGGGAGAGAGCTGTGAGTGTGAGACGGGGTCAGTGTGGGAGAGAGCCGTGAGTGTGAGAGACGGGGTCAGTGTGGGAGAGAGCTGTGAGTGTGAGAGAGACGGGGTCAGTGTGGGAGAGAGCCGTGAGTGTGAGAGACGGGGTCAGTGTGGGAGAGAACCGTGAGTGTGAGAGAGACGGGGTCAGTGTGGGAGAGAGCCGTGAGTGTGAGAGACGGGGTCAGTGTGGGAGAGAGCTGTGAGTGTGAGAGAGGGGTGTCAGTGTGGGAGAGAGCCGTGAGTGTGAGAGAGGGGTGCCAGTGTGGGAGAGAGCCGTGAGTGTGAGACGGGGTCAGTGTGGGAGAGGTGCCTGGGGTCGACACGAGAAAGTTCTGCGTCCCCAGCCCTCGGGCCGTCCCTTGTTCCTGTGGCGCACAGAGCCAAGGAAGCAGTGTGGGTCATTGCTGCACGGCCGCCCTGGACACAGGGCCGTGGCAGTCCGTGGGGGTACAAGGAGCCACGGGAGCCGAGTGGGCAGAAGAGAGGGGCCGGGGCTTTATCCCAGGCTCGGCTGGGCGTGTGGTGCCCGGGTAAACCTCAGGCAAGATGGTTAGCAGACTCCACGCGGGGGGCCTGTGCCTGGCTGTGCCTCTGCTCTCCTCCCCGCGCCTGGCCACGCGTCCTCCGGGTGCCTAGCTAAAGATGCTCTCTCACTCTCCCCAGATCCTCTGTCCATGGGTCCTCAGAAAGCTCTGGAGACGATCGGCGCCAACTTGCAGAAGCAGTACGAGAATTGGCAGCCTCGGGTAAGCTGGCACTCCTGCTGCTCCCTGGGTCTCGGTGGCTTTTGAATGCCAACAGGGCTTCTCGGCAGGCCGGCTGTGGCTCCCGTGCCCGCCTGCCTGCTGCCACACGGCGACTGTTGTGCGTTCCGAGTCAGGCTTGGGGGCGCTTTTGCTGTCCCCGGGGTCTTCAGAGAGGGAAAGGTATCCATGAAGTTGTGGTTTTAACTTTACATAGAAAGCATGTTTTTGCTAACTTTTCTAACCTCAGCTAGTTAGAGCCTTCCTGTCTTCAGTTTTCAAAGAGTTGCGGAGAAAGGCAGCCGACATTGAGAGCTGACAGCTGCCACACCCTGCTCCTTGATTCCGGAGGTGCGACTGTTCTGAGGAGCAGCTGCCAATTAGTGGGTCTTTTGCTGCTTTTATATCTTAGCTTTCTTCTTTTTTTCTTTAAAGAAAAAATAGCATAGAATATAATTGTGCCAAATTACCTTTAAGATCTGAAATTATTTGTAGGCCACTCACAGACCTATTTAACATTTTTTTCTTTACCTGAGTTGAAAATTTGATAAACTTGATAAAAAGGTGAGGTGTTGGGGGTGTTTGTTGCGGTGCCGTCTGTTGAGCCCTGCGAGACGGCTGACTGTGGGCTGCCCGGGGATGGGAAGCTGCATGGCCGGAGCCGCACACTCGGTGGGTGCTGGTGGGCCCTGATGCAGACAGGTGACCGTGTGAGGCCTGCAGCTTTTGCCTGGTTGAGGTACGGGGTGCGTAGCCCATTCCTCACACTCTGGAAGCTGCAGGCCTCTGTAGAGGGCTCAGATCGCAGAGGTGGGCGTGTCTGCCTGTGGCAGTGCCCTGTCCCGGGGTGACAGGTGTGAGGTGTGTGGTTCCGGCTGAGCTGTGGGCGCGTTCATGGGGCGCACGGGTGCTCCTTAGAAGGCCGCTTCTCAGCGGCTGTTTTAATTTGCACCGACAGCTCGACCTTCTCCCGTTGGCGCTGCCTCCCAGTGGTTTCTGTCAAAACTGGAACCATGTGTGGGGATGAGCAGACAGAGCGGCTGTGCCGGAGTGTGACGGTGGTGGGCATGGTCTCTTGGGGACCTGGAAGTGGCTCTGGGTAAGCCTGGCAGGGACCTGCTGTACAGTGGGGCAGCAGCAGTGCCATCTGTGACGGTGGTGGGCATGGTCTCTTGCCTCCCTCCCTTCCTTCTGCTGGCTTCTCCTGGGGTTGACTCTGAGCTGAGACTCTTTTGCTTGTTTAAAATCAAATGTAACCATATAAATTCACATCTGCCCGTTGTGTTCCTTCTGGAACAGCCTCTGCTGTTTTAATTCGTTTCCTCCTTTTAAAGAATTATTACTAAGGACGTCGTCTTGTAGAACACGAGCGCTTGCTCCTCCGGGACACTGTGGATTCTGTTAGTGATTGACAAGCTGGTTCCGAGTGCTTCACTCAGGATGGTTTGCACTTGCTGACAGTAAACGGAACCTTGGTGCGAGGGCATTTGTGCTCAAAGCGTCTTAGAGCTGAGCCGTGGTCCTGGCGTGTGATGTAAGGCGGGCAGCTGTGGTCTGGGGTGGAGAAGGGCCTGCAGGGAGCACCGGTGTGGGGGCTGTGCCCTCTGGGAGCACTGCAGGTGAGGCCAGCAGGGCTTTGGGACCAGTCTGTGCAGAAATTGCCGAGAGAGTCAGGAGGGCTGCTGAGGGCAGGATGCCACGTGGCAGTGGAGTGGGCATCCCTCTGGGGTGGGGTTGGCTGAACATGTGGACGGAACGGGGACTCGCTTGCACTCTGCAAGCCAAAGCCACACTGAGCAGCTTGAAAGCTTTCCTTAGGAATGCCAAAGGCTTGCTTTCTTTTTGTTGTAAGAGTTACAGAGAGAGAAGAGACAAATATCGCGTCCACTTCTTCGCTTCCCAAATGTGTGCCAAGGCTGGAGCCGGGCTGAGCCCGTGCACAGCCAGGCACCAGGAGCTCCACTTGTCTCCCACGGGAGTGCAGGGGCCCGATGTCTGGGGGCGTGGTGCCTTAGCAGGGAGCGGGATGGGGAGTGGAGCAGTGTCCATACGGGGTGCCACAGGCAGAGGCTTGGCCTCCTCACCACGGTGCTGCTGCCCTTTGCTTCTGAAGCGCATTCAGATGCCGAGGGCAGCACTGTGGCATGCTAGGGAAAGCTGCCTCCTGCGACAACGGCAAGCCACACGAGTGTCCGTTCAAGTCCTGGCTGCTCCATTTCCCACCCAACTCCCTGCTAATGCGCCTGGGAAAGCAGCAGAGGATGGCCCAAGTGCTTGGGCCCCTGCACCCCTGTGGGAGACCCTGAACAAGCTCCTGGCTCTGGCCTGACGCAGTGCTGGCCATTGTGGCCATTTGGGAATTAAGCTAGGGGGTGAAAAGGCTCTTTCTGTCTCTCTCCCACTTTGTAACTTTGGCTTTGAACTAAGTAAATACACCTTCCTGTTGCAAACGCTTGGGAGAACTTGTCCTGAGATGGGGGGAGGGACCTGACAGACACCTGCAGCAGGGTCTCTGCTGTCCAGCAGGGCTGTCGGCGTGTCATGGGTCATGATAGTGCATGGCCGTGCACCCGGTACGTGTTCTCTGCTGTCCTGTGTGGGGAGGCGGCCTTGCCTCCAAGGCACTTGGTTCCATGTCTGGCAGACACATGCGGCCTCCATGAGGTGGTTCCCGGGCTCTGGCATGTGTGCAGGGGTGTGGTCCCTTGCTGCGGCCTGTAGGGCTCAGGCCCCTGCAGCAGTAGAGGGTGGCCGATGTGCCATCTGCCCTGACACTGGGGCTTGCCTGGGAAGGCCCACCGACCCAGCCTCCTCTCTCTGCCTCCTTCATTGCCAGGCACACAAAGGGTGAATGATTTGCTGTTAGGTCATTTTCAAAAGTGTTTTCTGAACTTAGTGTGTGCTTCCACGTGGCCGTGTGTGGGCGACAGCAGACTAGGGAATGCCTGTTGCCTCAGCGGCCACCCCCATGCACAGTGTGCAGGACATTGGGCTGCAGGCTGGGCAGCAGCCCGAGGTGAGCACCTGGGAGGCCTGCGGGTCTCCTGACTGCTGCCTCGGTCAGTGCTTAGGCTGTCCCCCATTCCAGCCTCAACTGCCGAGGCCTGAATGCTTCGGAAAGGTGACCGTGGGGCAGGAAGAGTGGCTCTGTACTCTCCAGAGACTGCCAAGCTACTGGCCTGTTTCTTCCCAGCCGATTGGCCCTTTCTCCTAAGTGGGCAGGGCTTGGCTGTGCTGCCTCTGTCCTGGGTTTGTCCTCTGCAGGTGCCTGGGAAACAGGTGCCGTGCGCCGTGGAGGCTGGGAAGCCGGCAGCAGGAGGGAGGCTTTCTCTGACGGGCATTCTGACAGTAGAGTAGAAGAGCTGAGTCAGGAGCCGGCGAGGATGAGCTGCCTGTGTCTGCCGTGCTGCCTTGGAGTGAGGCTTCCCCGGGCCAGAGGCCACCTTCCCGGCAGGCTTCCATCTGCTTGTTTATAAGGAGGGGAAGCCATTTGGTGGGATTGCCCTGCCCACCAGCAGATGTGTGAGGTGGCTGCTGTCTGGACCTAGGTGTCCAGCATGTGTCCCACAGGGGACAGGAGACGGCCCCAGGTGTTGGTGCACATGGTGTGGGGCCTTGTTCATGTCCTGGCCACATCCCTGTGTGTGAGCGTCCACAGGGACTCACAGCCACAGGCCCAATTGTCTGGCACGCTCATGTGGCCTTCCGAACTGCTGGGTGCTGCGGAACGCTGCTCCTTCCAGAGCCTGGAGGCCTTGGAGTGTACCAGGGCGGGCTCTGGCCAACGGCACTGGTCCCTGGTGTGCAGCCAGGTGCCGTGACTGTAGCTGCTTCCTTGGGGACTGGCCCGGCCTCCTCTGTCACTTCATTCACCTAGTTTGTCAGGGCTCTGGTCCTGGGCTTGGACCTCAGCCATCTTGCCTGTGTTTCTGTGACAAATTGCAAATGAGGGCTCCCAGCCTGAGGCGTCCCGGGCGTGGAGCTGCCCAGCATCCCTCCGCAGGCCTCGGCAGGCTGTCGCCGCAGCAGGTTAACTGTGTTCTGACAGTTTGCTTAACTGCTTCCTGCTCATAATGTTACAGATCCTACCAGTGACAAATACCTCGTTTATATTCCTGCTTTGGCCTTAATCATGCTCCGTCTCCCTTCCCATCACTTCTTCCCTGCCAGCATCCAGGGAGGTGGTGCTTCATGCTCCTCAGCCCAGAGGCTCTGAGTCAGCCCTGCCCACGCACTTCCTGGCTGCCCTGTCCCCGAGGAGCGTGCTGCCGGCGGCAGCCTCCTGGAAGTGAGCTCAGAGCGGGGAAGGCAGTGCTGCCCCACTCTGCACACTCACTCCCGACCACCAGTGTGTCTCGGAAGCTGCAGGCAGGGCCTGCCCGGTGCCGTGCCTGCACACTCACTGGGAGCACACCGGGCACACCGCATGGGAAAGGCAGGGACCCTGCCTGCCCTCCCCGGGGGGTGGCTGCCCTCTGAGACAGCAGAGTCCAGGCGGGGTCTCGGCCACACCGTGCTGAGTGCCATGCCAGGGCCCCGAGCCGCTGCAGTCCCTGGGCGGCGAGTGTTAGCTGTTTTCCACAAGCCCAAGACGCCAGGCCCAACAACCGAGTCCTACAAGAGGTCTTTATTTTGGTGGAAGAGGTAACTGGGTCATGGAGAGAGTGGGAGCGACACGGAGAGAGAGACAGCACGAGGGGCGGGGGACAAAAGAACCTGGGTAGGGAATCTGAGCTTGATTTTTTTTCCCCAAAGATTTTTTTATTGGAAAAAACAGATGACATAAGGACAGAGAGAGAGAGAGGAGGAGGAAAGATCTTTATCTGCTGGTTTACTCACCAGATGGCTGCAACAGCCAAGGCTGGGCCAGGCTGAAACAGGAGCTAAAAACTCCATGTGGGTCCTGCACGGAGGTGGCAGGCCAACCCCTGCTGGCCGTCCCCTGCTGGCCACCTCCCGCATCTTGCACAGACGTGGCAGGGCCCAGGACTGGCCATTCCCTG